ACATATTGTCTTCACTTTATCAAAATTTATTAATTATCCTCTGGCGATACTCCAAGGCCTACTTTTTGCGACTCAATTTCCCTTTTCCTACTACCTTTCTGCGCCTCACATCTTAAAGCTAACTGTATTCCTTGAACCTTCCTTCCAACAGGAAGTTCCGGAAAACATATATTTGCAACATGCTAGCAATTAGCCCCCATATCGTCCCTGTCATACTTCTTCCAAGAAACTAATTCAAAAGACCTCTTTGCCTTACTAAACTTTTCCCTTGTAAATACATGAACCTCTTGTTCCCACAAGCCCTAACTCCTAAAGCCTCCTTGTCATTGCTTTATTCTCCATCTTAAGATTTTTCGACTTAGGACACTACATACCTATTAAAGGTACACTAAAGATTATCCCCCAATAATTTTTGGATCTCGATTTGCCCGTTGGCTTTAAACAAAAAAAAACAAAAGGGGGCAACCTATACTTCCTCTTCCTAAAACTTTTTAAATATAAGCACAACACAAAACTATATCCCCACCTGCTTTTAACATTTCATCTTTATCCCATCAATCCCGGCTGCCTTCCCCCCTTTCATTTTACCTACTGCCTCACGAACTTCCCCCACACTCACAACTGGCTCTTCCTCACTCCTACAAGATTTTAATTCCTCCTTGCCCATACACGAAATCACAGCTTCCCTATCTTCATCAACATTTAACCAATTCCTCAAATATTCCTTCCCATCTTCCCAATACCTCTAACTCTCCATTTAATAACTCTCCTCTCCTATTTTTAACTGACAAATCCATTTGTTTCTCTAGCTTTCTTAACTTGTTAATCTCACTCCAAAACTTTTTCTTATTTCAACAAAATTTGTTGATAACATCTCACCCACTCTCTAAATTGCTCTCTTTTTACATTGCTTCAACCACTCTCTTAACTTCTCTCTTTTTCTCCATAACCCATAGACCCATCCGCTGACACGTCCACTCCCAAATATTTTGAATACATTCACCTCCTCCATACTCTCTCCCTCCGATCTGATATTAAATCTTTCATCACCAAATTCTTTTTGTTATCCTCATAACCTTACTCTTTCCTGTATTCCCCTTTTAATTTTCTTCTTTTGCACACCCTACCAAATTCATATATATATATATATAATATATAATATAAATATAATATATAATATATAAAATATATATATATAAATATATATATATAAAATATATTGAATTTGGTAGGGTGTGCAAAAGAAGAAAATTAAAGGTGAATACGGGAAAAAGAGTAAGGTTATGAGGATAACAAAAAAGATTAGGTGATGAAAGATTTAATATCAGATCGGAGGGGAGAGTATGGAGGAGGTGAATGTAAATTTAGATATTTGGGAGTGGACGTGTCAGCGGGTGGTCTATGAAAGTGAGGTGAATCATAGAATTGATGAGGGAAAAAGAGTGAGTGGTGCACTTAGGAGTCTGTGGTGACAAAGAACTTTTTCCCCTTGGAGGCAAAGAGGGGAATGAAAGAGAGTATAGGTTTAACCCCGCTCTTATATGGGTGTGAAGCAATGGGTGATGAATGTTGCAGCGAGGGGAAGGCGGAGGCAGTGGGGATGTCATGTCGAGGGCAATGTGTGGTGTGAATATAATGCCAGAGAATCGTAGTTTTGGGAAATTAGGAGGAGGTGCGGGATTACCAAAACTGTTGTCCAAGGGCAGGGGAAGGGTTGTTGAGGTGGTTTCGGACATGTAGAGAGAATGGAGCGAAACAGAAGATTCAAGAGTGTATCAGCTGTAGTGGAAGGAAGGCGGGGTAGGGGTCGGCCTAGGAAAAGGTTGGAGAGAGGGGGTAAGGAGGTTTTGTGTGCGAGGGCTGGACTTCCAGCAGGTATGCATGAGCGTGTTTGTAGGAGTGAAAGGAGACAAATGGTTTTTAAAGCTTGACGTGCTGTTGGAGTGTGAGCAAAGAACATTTATGAAGGGTTCAGGGAAACCGGCAGGGCCCGGACTTGAGTCCTGGAGATGGGAAGTACAGTGCCTGCACTCTGAAGGAGGGGTGTTAATGTTGCAGTTTAAAAACTGTAGTGTAAAGCACCCTCTGGCAAGACAGTGATGGAGTGAATGATGGTGAAAGTTTTTCTTTTTCGGGCCACCCTGCCTTGGTGGGAATCTGCCAGTGTGATAATAAAAAAAAAATAATATATATATATACGTATATATATAATATATATATATATATATATATATATATATATATATATATATAATATATATATATATATATATATATAGTCATGATCATCGTCAAGATTGAATGTTTTCATTGCAGATGAATCTCTGATGGTGAGACATTCAGGAACACACTATGAATGTCTCTTACATATTGTCTTCCACTTTTATCGAAACTTTATTTAATTATCCTCTGGCGACTACCAATGGCCTGACTTAAGTTGCACTCGCAGTCTCCTAACAAACGTGTCGTCGCCTTGTTCTGCTGTAATTGTATTTGCCAGCAAGATTCGTATTGCCTCTGAAATTGCTTCCACGAACATGGAAGTTCCGGAAAAATACAGTAGTATTTCTGGAAGTGTAGGCAAATAGAAACTAGCGTTCTTTGATTGTCTTCACGAAGAAGAGCGTGTCTGTGTAAATAGCATTGCCTCTTTGTCTTCACGAAGAAGAGCGTGTCTGTGTAAATAGCATCGCCTCTTTTGTCTTCACGAGGAAGAAAGGAAGCGCCGGTAAATCCAGAAGTGCCTTTAGGTCCTCACATTAAAGATGTGTCGGCAAGGACACTAGTAACTCTAATTAAAATTACCTGGCTATTGATTCAAATGTAACTCTTTACTGGATTACGAATGCGACTGGTTGGCGAAACGTCTTCAAAAAAAAAAAAGGGGGGGGGGTCGACATATCTCTCATTCTATGAGAACTTCTTTAACTGGATTCAAGAACAAGGATGTGATAAAAAAAAACATTCCTTTCTTAAATGTCGTCACAAACAAGGCTGCCTTTTTATTGTTGACATGAAAAAAGCGAGAAAATTTCATCAGAGCTATAGAAAAAAATGTCTCTATACAAGGAGGCATTTAGTTTGCATGGAAAATTAATTTATCAAGGAAAAGCTCTGAGCTGTTTGTGTCTGTGGGGAAATATCAGCGTGTGAGACGCACAACGTACGAAACAAGTCGTTGTCTCTGGGACTGATTGTAACGTAGTCACTAGGTTACGTAAAATGCTCACTGCACTAAAGTCACAGTACCCTATTTACAAAAAAAAATCCAAATAATTCTACAAATTGAATTTCAGAATTGGATAATGCCTCGTTCTGATGTTGACAATTATCGAGTCACGAGCGGATTATCCACTAGTCACTTGACGACGATGCGAAACGGATCCAATCGCTGTTCAGTTTTCGTTCCTATTTCATAGTTAAGTTGTTTTAAAATTTAGATGCAGTCGTAACAGTAAATTAAAATTCTTCCTTAAAACTCCAGAAAGAACTTACTTCTCCTGGCCTAACACAAATTATATTACCATGAGTTAAGTTAACTTAGGAAAAATATGTTCAGCAATGTGTCATTTCTTCATACTAAAACAGCCTCACTAAGACAGCCTCGCTAAGACAGCCTCGCTAAGACAGCCTCGCTAAGACAGCCTCACTAAGACAGCCTCACTAAGACGGCCTCACTAAGACGGCCTCACTAAGACGGCCTCACTAAGACGGCCTCAGTTAGCTCCATTAAGAGACAGTCTCACTAAGCCTCATGAATACAGCCTCACTAAGACAACCTCACTAAGAGACAGCCTTACTAAGAGACAGCCTTACTAAGAGACAGCCTTACTAAGAGACAGCCTTACTAAGACGGTTTGATGTATTGCAAGACTGTTTACAGGACACGAGACTGGCACACAAATATTTACGCATAATGAATGAGTCTGAGTATTGAAGGAGACTGAGTACAAATACTTCACATCACTATCTTGTCCTCCACATCACTATCTTGCCATCCACATCAATATTTTGTCCTCATCAATATCTTATGTCCACTACATGATGCTTTCAACATCACTATCATATGTCTGCCACATCAACATCTTATACCATCAAGCACATCACTATCTCAACAGATCACTTCTCCTGTGGACTGCGGAATGAAAATCAGACTTACAAAATCTTGTTTTATCATTTGATTATCGTGCAATTCGTGGTTCTCAATCTCTCTCGCTCTGACGATAGAACGATGGAAATAAACACAATCAACTCTTTACTAAGCCCAATACAAAATTCTGAAAGAGGTTATTTAATTCTCACAAACTTCGTCTAAGATTCTTTTCGAATACCAAGCGAAGCGAGAGTGCACTAGTGAGTGTTTGCAAGGCCAGAATGATAGCAGGTTTGCGGGACCTCGATATAGGTTAATGGCACCTACTAGACGCAAGGGACATTCACAACTTTTTTTTTGTTTTTTTTTTGTGAAGGGATCACTTAGGTTAAGCACACTGATGAGATTCTTAATGCTAGTGCTCTTGACGGACTACAGAAGAGAATTTCAAAGAAGTAACGGAAACTCAACGAAAGGGAGTGAAGACGTATCAAAGAAGGAGGAAGCTCCTAGGTTTACATGGAATTATGTCAGCGACAATAGTTAGAGTTTGACAGAGATGTTGGAAGTTTCAACAAAAGTAACGATAGAGTGTTTCACAGAATAGATGAATATAGAGGAGGCGGAGAAATTACGAAGGCGAAGATTAGGCGAAACTTCAAACTTCACGAAGGAAGTGGAGCCCAGACAGAAGAGTAGTTCATACAGTAGATGGGGTCCAGAAAGGAGAGTAGTTCATACAGTAGGTGAAGCCTTTTAATCGCACCTCGATATTTCACCAATATATGCATAATAAAGAGCTCACCAGTATCTTAACTAAGTCACCTACTGATGAGACCTCAGCTTCCCCTAAAGTCTGTGTAGAGCAGCTTTTCGAAGTCCTAATAAGCTGCATCTTAATCTAAGGTCACACTAGGGTGCCTGGTTTCATCATAGCCTCTGGTGAAAAGATATATTTGGCCTCTGGGGATCCACGTTCATCGGCATTGATCACGGAGTTAGGAAGAGTTACAGATTTCGTCCCCGTGGGGGACATTGCACCTCTTGGAGACCCTGTTTTAGAGCTCTTTGGGTACGGAGGTGGCGGCGGGGAACCATAGGTAGGGGCACGAACCATGGAGTATGCTGAATGACGAGAAAGGGTTGAGGTATCATGGTAGCTGTTTTTGTCCAGTAGACTTCTACCATTCTCACCCGCAGAGTCGTGGCCTCTGCTGCCTCGCTTAATGGTGCAGAAATTTGGAGTGGCGGAGGAGAGCGAAGTCGGAGGAACAGGATGAGGGTAAAGCCCCAGGTCGCTGAAGGAGGCACGCCGCCCATTGGGAACTGGGGCATAGTCCCTGCTGCTGTAGTCCACGAAGGGTACGTAACCCCGGCCTTCTTCAGTATCCTGTGGGAGAGGGGAAGGCTCAGAGTTAGTATTCTACACAGTATATCACAATGATTGTTTGAGTATCTTAGGCTTATGTGAATTCAAGCACACATGAATGCACACACACACACACACACACACACACACACACACAACACACACACACACACACACATACACACACACACACACACACACACACACACACACACACACACACACACACACACACACACACACACACACAGGTTAATTTTTGTTCAAGGGCTTCGGGAGGCACAAAGGTATAACATACAAAGAAAGACGACAGAGAGAGGGGAAAGAGATTGAAAACATTATGGGATAGGAGAGGAAATATGATCCAGCTGGCAAATTTTCAGAGAATAGGGTGGTACTCAAGGGGAAAAAATAATCTAATTAAATTGATTTTCAAGTCAGAAATGGTACAAAACAGAATCCTGCAACAGAAACTATGACTAAGGGGCTCATCTAATTACCAGTGGGTGTACCTCAACTATGACAGAACATGAGAAGAATGAGAGAAACTGAGAGGATTCAAAGACACAAGGGGCATAAGAGAGAGTGAAAGAGATGGGCAGGGAAGCCCAGGCTCAAGATGACCAGAAAACACAACCTTCCTCAGAATCACCCACAGAACACAACCAAAAACCCCAACACAACGAAACAAATTAAACCCAAACAACCCACACTCCACATTCACAGCCTCGACTACTGCTATCACAAACTCCAAGTGGCATTTCCTAGTATCCTGCCAGGTCTCCTGCACCTCTAGAGCCAACAAACCCACCAGAAGACAATATTGGGAAAATCTGAAGGTATGGCACACCAACACAGACGGAATAGCAAATAAATGTGAGGACTGGGACAAAAATCATGGAGGTATCCCTGATATCGTAGTGCTCATGGAAAGAAAGCTCACAGAGATAATAACAGATGCGATCTTTCCATCTGGTTATCACATTCTGAGGAAAGGTAGAGGGAACAGAGGGGAAAGAGAAGATGGAAGGTATGAACAGAGCGGAAGCAAGGGACTGCATGGTAGGAACACTTTAGACTGGTGGTGATTGCAGTGATGTACAACCCACCACAGAATGTCAGGAGACCATGACAAGAGTATGGTGAGAGCAACAGAGCAACGGTGGACACAAGCGGTGGTGGCCAGAAGGGCCCATACGAGCAGAGCAAAGTTACTAGTTGTATATTTCAAACAACTGTGGTCACATGGGCGACCAGAAACGTGGAAGGCTAATTTGATGATGGAGGTCGTACTGGGAAACCTCATGCATCAACATGTTATTGGCATTACCAGAGAGATAGGTGAGGATGAACCAAGCAAGGCTGGACCTCGTATTTACCTTGAGTAGTCCAGACATTGGGGATATTGGGGACATCATAGCTAGTGACCATGTGGTCCCGGCTTCGAATACATTGTAAAGTTAAAAGTGGAGAGTGAACTAGCATGGGTAGGACGGGAGAAGCTAACTACAAAAGAAGGGGCTACAAAGGCATAAAGAATTTCTTTCCTGAGATACAGTAGGAAAGAGAACCAATGGGAAAAATAGTAAATGAAATGATGGAATACGTGACCATAGAATGCAAAGAGGCAGAGGAGAGGTTCATACCCAAGGGCAACAGAAACAATGGGAAAACCAAAACGAGCCTTTGACTCACCCAAAGGTGTTGAGAGGACATAATTAAGTGCGCTAGAGAATGGAAAAAAAATATAGAAGAAAATGGACCCAGGAACATAAGCAGATTAGCCAAAGAGCCAGAAACGAATTTGCACGAATATGGAGAACGCCCAAGTGGCAATACGAGAATGACACAGCATCGAAAGCCAAATCTGATCCAAACCCGTTGTATAGCCACATAAGGAGGAAAACAGTCAAGGGCCAGGTACTCAGGCTGAAGATAGAAAGGAGGGGAGATCACAAGAAACGATGAAGAAGTATTTGAAGAGCTCAACACAAAATTTAAGGAAGTATTTTCAGTAGAGACAGAAAGGACTCCAGCAAACCGGGTTTGTAGGGTACACCAAGTGTTGGACACATTACACAACGGAGAGGAGGAGGAGGCAAGAGGCTGCTAAATGAGGTAGAAACCTCAAAGGCGGTGGGACGAATATTTTTCCATGTGTCCTGAGAGAGGGAAAAGAGAAACTGTACGTGCCACTAACAACAATCTTCAATACAACAGGTGACAAAACTATAGACCAGTGTATCTCACATGTATAGGATTCAGAAGTTATGGAGAAGCTATTCAGAAAAGTGGTGGAGCTTATATACGATAACCAGCACAGTTTCAGGGAGGGGAAATCCTGTGTCACACACCTACTGGAGTTTTACGGCAAAGTGACAGAAGGCAGGAGAGACTATACGACAAGCAGGCATGAATAACAAGACACTGCAATGGATCAAGGAATACCCAACAGGAAGGAAAAAAAAGTGATGGTATGTAACGAGGTGTCAGTTTGGGCACCTGTGACGAGCGGGGTTCCACAAGGGTCAGACCTAGCTAACAACTGGTTCCTGGAGTTTAGTCCCAGAAGGGCAAAGTCATGAAGACTGGGGAAGATCAAGGAAGACTACAAACAGAATACAGGTTAGGGTGCCAAAATCTGTAAGCCTCAGTCAGGGAAAAGGATCTTGGGGTGAATATAATACCTAGCACATCTCCTGAGGCGCACATCAACCAAGTAACTACTGCAGCATATGGGCGCCTGGCAGACCTAAGAATAGCGTTCCTACAACAGAGGAAATATTCATTCAAGACTCTGTATACCGTGTACGTCAGGCCCATATTGGAGTATGCAGCACCAGTATGGAACCCACACCTGGTCAAGCGCGTCAAGAAATTAGAGAAAATGCAAAGGTTTGCTATAAAACTAGTCCCAGAGCTAAAGGATATATCTTACGAGGAGATGTTAAGGGAAATCAACCTGACTATACTGGAGGACAGGAGGGATAGGGACGGATGTGGACAGAAGGTTTCAGAGATAGGACGCAGCAACAACGGGTCACAGCTGGATGCTGAAAACTCAGATAAGTCCCAGGTAGGTAAGGAAGTATTTCTTCAGTCATAGAGTTGTCAGGAATTGAAACATTCTGAGAGTGGTGTACTAGAGGCAGGAACCACACATTGTTTTAAATATAAATACCGTAAAGCTGTTGGAGCATGGAGAGAGTGGACCTACTAGTGACCAGCGAAAAGGCGGGGTCAGGAGCTGTGACTCGACAACTGTAATCACAAATAGGCGAGTACAAATATATGAATACACAGACGCAGACACACACACACACACACACACACACACACACACACACACACACACACACACACACACACACACACAAATATCATGGAGCAGGGAGAGAGTGAATTAGTATCGACCAGTGAAGAGGCGGGGCTAGGAGCTATCATTCGACCCCTGCAACCACATATAGGTGAGTACATATAGGTGAGTACGTATACACACACACACACACAACACACACACACACACACACACACCACAAGTGAGGGGAGCTCACAAGAAATGACAGAGGATTATGTGAAGAGTTCAAGAGATTTAAAGAATTCACAGTGGAGACAGTTACAACTCCAGAAACACGGAATGGTGGGGTGCTCCATCAAGTGTTCAACATAACACACACAGCCGAGGAGGAGGTGAAGAGGCTGCTAAGCGAACTAGATGCCTCAAAGGCGATGAGGCCAGATAACATCTCTTTGTGGATCCTGAGGGAGCAGAGATGCTATGTGTACCACTAACGACGATCTTCAACACATCTATCGAAACAGGGCGACTACCTGAGGTATGGTAGATAGGAAATGTAGTCCCAGTTTTTGAGAAAGAAGAGAGACATGCAACATTAAACTACAGACCAGTATCACTTACATGCATAGTATGCAAAGTTCTATGACAAGGTGACAGCAGTAAGGGAAGAGAGAAAGAAGGGTGGGTAGATTGCATTTTCTTGGACTGTAAAAGGGCTTTTGACACAGCTTCACACAAAATATTAGTGCAAAAGCTGAAGAACGAGGCAGGTATATCAGTGAAGGTATTGCAATGGATCAGAGAATACCTGACAGGAAGGCGAGTCATGGTACGTGACGTGGTGTCGGGTTCCATGGGGGTTCTAGGACCGGTGCCGTTTCTGGTATATGTGAACATGACGGAAGGAATAGACTCAGAAGTGTCTGTTTGCGGACGATGTGAAGAGTATGAGGAAAATTCAGTCTGACGAGGACCAGGCAGAACTACATAGGGATCTGGACAGGCTACGGGCCTGGTCTAGCAACTGGCTCCTGGGGTTCAACCCCGTCAAGTGCAAAGTCATGAAGAGGCCAAAGAAGACCACAGACAATACAGCCTAGGGGGCCAACTACTACGAACTTCACTCAAGGAAAAGAACCATGGGGTGAATATAATACCGAATTCATTTCCTGAGGTGAACATCAGCCATATAACTTCTTCTTCTTCTTGATTCGCCGGTATAGCTCCCGGCCCGGGCCTTTTCCAAGTGGTGACCCGGCCTTGGCTCCCTGTCTAGGGAGTGTCTGAGACCTAAGTCTCCCATGGGAGGAGGCACAAGTACCCCTTCATCTTTGGGACCTATTGTCCCCAGGCCTAGCTACATTCCCCGCCCTCACGGGGCTCGTAGGGAGAAGCTAGGTCTCTCTGGTCTGCCATCCCCGCCCCAAGGGGGTTAATGGGAATGACAGTCTTGTGAGCTGCAAGCTCAGGCTCAGGCACCTACCCTACCCTAGAAGAGTTAGGCAAGGTGTCGTTCCCATATAACTGCTACATCATATGGGCGATTAGCAACCCTAAGAGTAGCTCTCCGACATCTCAGTAAGGATTCGTTCTGGACCCTGTACACCGTGTACATCAGGGCTATATAAGAGTATGCAGCACCAGTTTGGAACCCACCCCTTGGCCAGCACGTCAGGAAATTAGAGAAAGTGCAAAGGTTTGCAACGAAACTAGTCCTTGAGCTAAGGTGCATGTCCTGCGAGGAAAGGTTAAGGGAAATTGACCTTACTACCCTGGAGGACGGAGGGATGGGATGATAACTACATATAAAATATTGAGAGGAATCGACAAGGTGGACAAAGGTAAGATGTTCAAGAGATGGGACACAGCAACAAGGGGTCACAGTTGGAAGCTGAAGACTCAGGTGAGTCACAAAGAAGTTAGGAAGTATTTCTTCAGTCAAAGAGTGAGTATGATAAAACCCAGAGTAGGGAGTGACCCAGTAGCGACCAGTGAAGAAGTGTGACCAGGAGCTATGAATCGACCCCTGTAACCACATTTAAATGAGTACAATTATGTGAGTACACACACACACACACACACACACAGAAAAGAGGCACTAAACTATAGACCTGTGTCATTGACGTGTATAGTATGCAAAATTATGGAGAAGATTATCAGGAGGAGAGTGGTGGAGCACCTGGAACGGAACAGGAGTATAAATGCCAACCAGCACGGATTCACGGAAGGCAAATCCTGTGTCACAAACCTTCTGGAGTTTTATGATAAAATAACAGAAGTAAGACAAAAGAGAGAGGGGTGGGTTGATTGCATCTTCTTGGACTGCAAGAAGGCCTTTGACACAGTTCCTCACAAGAGATTAGTGCAGAAGCTAGAGCATCAGGCGCATATAACAGGAAGGGCACTGCAATGGATCAGAGAATACCTGACAGGGAGGCAACAACGAGTCATGGTACGTAATGATGTATCACAGTGGGCACCTGTGACGAGCGGGGTCCCACAGGGGTCGGTCCTAGGACCAGTGCTATTTTTGGTATATGTGAACGACATGACGGAAGGGTTAGACTCAGAAGTGTCCCTGTTTGCAGATGATGTGAAGTTAATGAGGAGAATTAAATCTGATGAGGACCACGCAGGACTTCAAAGAGACCTGGACAGACTGGACACCTGGTCCAGCAAATGGCTTCTCGAATTTAATCCTGCCAAATGCAAAGTCATGAAGATAGGGGAAGGGCACAGAAGACCACAGACCGAGTATATGCTAGGTGGCCAAAGACTGCAAACCTCACTCAAGGAGAAAGATCTTGGGGTGAGTATAACACCGAGCATGTCTCCGGAAGCACACATCAATCAGATAACTGCTGCAGCATATGGGCGCCTGGCAAACCTGAGAACAGCATTCCGATACCTTAGTAAGGAGTCATTCAAGACACTGTACACCGTGTATGTCAGGCCTCATACTGGAGTATGCAGCACTTGTTTGGAACCCGCACTTGATAAAGCACGTCAAGAAACTAGAGAAAGTACAAAGGTTTGCAACAAGGTTAGTTCCAGAGCTAAGGGGAATGTCCTATGAAGAAAGATTAAGGGAAATCGGCCTGACACACGGGAGGACAG